ATGTATTGAAAAATGGTAAGAGAGAATTAATGAAATATCTCATTAAATTAAAACCAAAGTAAATGTTTGCCTCAATTTTACCTCACTTTTTCCATAGTTACCTAATAATGAATTTATCTCCTAAGATTATAAACTGTACTTAAGCCCAAATAAAATGAATAAACCTTGTAGATTCTTCACACATTAACAAGACATATTCTATAGTTGTCACTCCTGTGATTTTGCAGAATTAAAACCTTTGTGTTTCTTCATTGTGTCCTAAAAAAAAAAAACATGGTGACTTAGAAGTTTCAACTTCACCAGTCTGAAAACTTTCATAGGTGAAAGAACACAATAAATTATTAAATATTTTCATATAATTATACTGAAAAATGAATTTCTTTTTTTAATATATATTTTTTTGGTTGTAATTGGACACAATACCTTTATTTTAATATTGTGCTGAGGATTGAACCCAGGGCCTCACACGTGCTATGCAATCACTCTACTACTGAGCCACAACCTGAGCCCCCAGAAAAATGAATTTTTTATACTGAATAGAAACTACTCTTCTGATGTTCACCCTTATCAAGGTAACATGATGTTCGTTCACATAAAGTAAAAACACAATAAATAATCACTATTAAAAGAAGGTCAGAATTTCAAGTGGCCTTGACACTATTTTGTTCCTCTGAATAAAGACACATCTATGGCTAAAAAGAAATGGGAATATTGATTTTGACCTCTGTTCTCAGGTCTGTTAGATCAAAAGAAAAAGAAGTTGGTGGAGAAGGAGGAAGAGGAACAGGAGGAGGAAAAGAAAGAGGAGAAGCAGGAGGGGAGAAGGAGAACATGGAGAAAAATGAGAAGGAATAAAGTAAAAGGAATTTTAAGCCAGGAACTGTTCTTGTATTTTGTGATATGGCCTTATAATCTGCAGCACATATACAAATTAGGCAATGGAAATTGCTAATATGGAGAAATGGCAGAGCAGCTTAAAAGAAAGGAAAATATGACATACCACATAATAAAACATAACTTATTTTAATAAAATTGATACAAAGAAAATTTTATAAATGACTACAAGTCATTGAGGAATTACTTATCATGATTACAAAGGGAAACTATCTTTCTGAATTACTCCAATGCAGAAAACTTGGAAATGACAAAGAAATTTCTAAAAAGCTCATTATTTTCCTCTAAGTGACAAACAAACCCAGGAGGGAAATAATTCCACACAATATCTGATATTTTTCACCGCCTGGGCTCTCTTAATGTCTGTAGTAAAACTTGTATTCCATTCTTACTATTTAATAGAGACAGAATTACAAGGCAAATAATAGTAATTCTAAATAATAACCTCTGTAAATGCTTGCCCTTCCTAATCCTATTTCATATTTGTCACCAAAATCACTGTAAGATATTTTGTAAATTGTGAAAATAAAGGTAATAAAATATCGACTGTAACATAGGTCATTAGGTAAAAGCCATTATTATTATTATTATTATTATTATTATTATTATTATTATTTTACTAGGAATTGAACCTAGGGGTACTTTACAACTGAAGTACATCCCCAGCTCCTTTTATTCTTTTATTTTGAGTCAGGATCTCACTAAATTTCTGATAGTCTTGCTAAATTTCTGAGTCTGTCCTTGAACTTGCAAGCTTCCTGTGTCAGCCTGCCAAGTCACTGGGACTACAGGTGTGTGCCACCAAGGCCAGCTTTAACAGCCATTAAATCTTTAAAAACTTGATTTCTATTTGACAGGAATAATGCTCCTTACTTTAGAGTGCAATATTTTTTTTAATCCAGTGGTAGATATCTTGGTAAAATAGATTCTTCATATCATACTATGAAGTATCCTATAATTTTTGTTTAATACTTATTTTTTTTCACAAATATTTATATATTATCTAAATTGAATTACACTAATACTCTTTGATATGGGAAAATAGATCCTGACCTCATTTTGTCCTATTACATTCCTGTTTTATTCTTTCCTGAAAATGCTCTTTAATTGAAGAAGCTTAAATCCTCCAATATTTAATCGTATCACTCTATCGTTAGTTTTTCTCATTGAGGATTCCTTTTCTTCTCAGAACTGTACACATTCCCCCAAGGATATGACAGTGTCTTTATACAGGAAGTCACACCCCCTACAATGCTTTGATGTGGGAGCTTGATTGCTTCATTCATTAAGTTGTCTCGGCCAATATTAGGAAGTTTCTTGGTAAGAACATTACCTTTAATATGTAGTATGACACTATTGACCAATGACTTAAGAATTAAAATAATAATATGTGTGAAGCAATGACTTTTTATGATGGCACCCTGAAAAGGACTTCACCTATATTTTCTCTTTTAATCCTTAAAAAAAATGCAAATATATGCTATTGATCACCCAGATTTTTGCTTTTTAATAAACAACAGGGATGGTGACAGATGTAGTTATTTACCTAAGATCATAGAGTGGATAAGCACTGAAGCTGGACCTGGGCCAGGCTGGTCACATCTGGAGCCCACCATTAGCTGGGGCCAAATCACTGTGATATCTCCTCAGACCCATGCAGTAAAATTCCCTCTGTTAACTCAAGTTAACACCAGATATGCTGAGGTTTAAGCCTGAAATTTTTAGCAATTATATTTCTGAATTGTTCCATCTTAAAGTGCAAATACTCTATAATCTCTCTCTATTTTTAAAATGTCAGCAGAAATGACCTAGTCAGAACCTTCTAGGCTAACCAAAGGAAAGAACATTTTTGCCAGCCACCAGAGGGTAAGTGGAGTATTTCCTCAGTAGGGCTAGTCTATGATCTTGGCTATGTTGGAAGATTGGAAGTAAAAACAAAAAGCCTCAAATCTTCAAGGACGTCAAGATGGAGAGGAGAGACCTAGACAAACCACATTCCTCAAAAGCTAGGTATAAACATCCAATACACAGTAAGACAGAATATATATTAGTTCTACTCCATGCTTTTTGTTTTTAAAATGTTACCATTTATTTTACTTTTATCTGAGGCATCAAATAATACCAATAAAAATATAAAAAGATTGGGGTAGGGAATAATCTGCACTTTACTAATAATACATTAACTCCTACGCCTCATAAAGGTAGCACCTAAAATTAATGTTTAAAAAATCATTGGTTTTGCAATGAAACAGAGGAAGAATCTCTCTTTTTAGTGGACAGTATCTAATTAAACATAAGCCAGGAAATACATTCTAATCAGAGTTTTCATCCATTGTACCTCACCTTTAGTGTGTTTTAATATTGCCTATTGTATCTTTGCAGTACAAATTGATAGAGCTCTCTGATGGCAGTTCACACAGATGTGGTCACTAGGAGTCAGCCACTTACTGCTCTAAATATGGTTTCAAAGGCATGAAACTATGTTTCCCACTTTACACTTTCATTACTACTCTTGTGATGAGATAAAAGGTAAAGTTTTAAGTTGTTACTCCTTGTGAGAAAATCCTATCTGGATCTCAGTTTTATTTTCTCTAAAATGAGGTCAGTGGACTAACTGACCCCTGATTGCCACATGAGACTTAAGTCTACACTGAGAGGAAGAGTTCTCCCAGAAGAATTCTCCCTTAAAAGGGGAGGGGGAATTATTAGGAACTAGTTGTCTTAGAAGACTGCACATTTAAATAAGGTAGGTATTGGTTAGTGTCAAAAGGCTACTCATTACAAGAAAAGTGTCATTCCCCCTAACCAAATAAGGAAGTAACTGAAACAAGTGATAAATATCAATTGAGAAGGAACAAAGGAGATGGGGAAAAGGAAGAAGAATAATCAGTAGAATATAAAAGTTCTCAAGCTATTCTAAATAGCAAGTGTCTAGAAGGGTTACTTGAGTATCAGGTGAAATGAAAGCCCTTTTCTAGAAAAACTGCTCAATTTAGAACAAATTGTGCCATCTTCTAACTGACCAAATTGTTAAACTGAAATTACAAAAGAGGTAACCTACTCAGGGTTCAAAAGAGTGGTCGGTTTATTTATAGAGGCTAAGCAAAGCTTGCTCTACTGAAGTTCATGTTAACCACAGTACTCAAGAACATCAATATCCAGTGTTTAAAATATTAAAATTTTCAGGTTTCATGGGCTCTAATTCCTTTTGTGTCATTTTTCATTTCCACAAATATATTTTCCATTTTAACTGAAAAGCAAACTTTCAAATGTATTAAAATATACAGTAGCAAAAAGAAGAAGCAGTTAAAGCCAAAGTTACATTACTTAAAAATGTGAGTAAATGATAAGGAATTTAATCCTGTTCAACAAATTAACAGAATTTCATTCAGAGGCTGCATTTCTCACTCTGAACATCTCCAATAATTAACACCCTAGTGAATTTTTTTTAGTCTTTCGATATTGAGCACTTTTTATAATCAATGTACACTTTGCGAAAGCATTAGAAAATATTTCAGAAAGGAATACAATTGCTGAACATCCATTTGAAAATGTAAATCCATTTATATAGTCAACCAAATTGACTGTCTTTTACCCAGTTAGTAGCCCGCACAGTGGTGGTAGAAGTTCTATGTACAAGGACCTGAGAGCCAAGTCACAGGGCATCTTGGCAATTTACCTGGCTGGAATTTATAAGGTACTGTAGGTAAATGGGCGATGCTACAAACGTGAGGTTTTGCTGATCATAGAATTTTAAGATGGCATGGCATGGAACTTTAACACACGTGGCAAAGAGATTTTAGAAATTCCAGGACACTGTCCAGGACGCTCTGCAAAGTTTCAGCTCCTCAGAAGTTGCAGATGCCAGTGGTTGCCCGCAGGGCAGAACAGGAAGCGCGCTCCCACCTGCTGGGTGCAGACTCCCCAACTGAGAAGCCAGAGGACACAAGAACCTCTCCTGGCTGCCCGGTAACGGGAGGAACGGGGAACGTTCTCAGTGGCCCGAGGGCAGTTATTGTCTAAGGGTGCCCCTTAGTCTCTGCAAAGTACCCAAAGTCGTCCCGGACGCTCCCCCATCCAGCCCCTCCGAACGCGAGAGCACCCACCTGGGGGCACCAGGCAGGGGGCGGGCGGGTCCCGGCTCCCGCCCCCCTGGCCGGACACTGCAGGCAGCATTGATGCCGACGAAGCCAGAGATCTGGGGATCGCAGCCTGCACGGCCCGGTTTGGACTCTCCAAGCCAGAGAGACACTCTCTGCGAGCTCAGGTCTCGCTTCGCGCCCCTCCCCTGCCCGCTGCCCACCCGCAGCGGCAGTAGCCCAGGTCCCCGGAAACGCAGCCAGGGCTCAGGCCACAGGCCAGGGCTGGGCTTTGCTGGGTGCCCTGAGGAAGTGAAACCGTTCAGGGGCTTGCTCTTTCATCCCGTTTTCAGAAGACTGCCTTGGTTTCTCATGATACTCCTGGGCCAATTTTTCTTACCTTTTTTTTTTTCACCTAAGGACTCTTGAGGCTCATGTTACCTGTGTTATCTGTGACTGTAGCTCTAGCTCTTCTTGTGCATTGGAGAACTTCCATATTATTACCTCCACTTCTGGAAGAAATGAGGGATGCATAAGGTGGACATTTGTTGGAAAGGGGGAATAGAGAAATACGTGTAATTTTAAAAAATATTTTATTCAGACTTTCTGGATTAGGTTCATATGTTGTAAAGTGAAGTAAATTCCATATATAAAACTTATTTCCTATCCCTTGCTCCAATTCAGAAATGGGCCCAGTGGAAAATCTGTCATGGATCTAAATAGTGGTGTTTTTAGGGTAGGGCAGGGATATAACCCAGTGGTAGAGTGCTTGCCTGGCAAGCCATGATCTCCAGCACCCCTGGCCCTACATCCCAAAGATCGAAAAATATCAAAGTAGTTGTCTTCGGAGTCTGAAAATAAATACCTCTTCTATCAAGGAATACAAAATTAGGAATTTGCCTTTTGAAGTGGAAGATCAATTTGAAGATTGGATAATAGAACATGGTTGCAATGTCTCTCTTTCCCTTCTCATAAAAGAAACCTAAAGGAAGGCTGGCTCAGCAACTATTTCTCTTACAAAAGTCTTTTTTTAGGAATATTATAAATATCAAGTATCAAGAAAAAAAAAAGACTGTTCACTTTTCCCACATAGATGAACATGTTACCAGAACTTTATAACATAATGTAGAAAACTTGGAAAAACATGTGAAAAGTCAGGAAATTTTGAAAACTATTATATATTTACTTCCTATCTAGTAGTTCTGCTAGCTTCATTATTAATTTTATTTTTGTGAATTTGAAATAATAGAGCAAAAAACTATGAAATATTATGATATCGGCAAGTTTATTGTCTTCTACATATGATTGTTTACCCAGAAACTTCAGTAAAATAAAAACAAAGTTTGAGTTTTAGACCACATGTAAACTTTTGGTCTGTAGTTTATGAATTTAAATTCTTAGCATAGTCTTCTTAAATGAACTCATTGGGGGAAAGAATATGGTAATTGGTATATTTCCAAGTGTACATAATTCTAACAATAGCAACTTTGTCATATACTTTTTCTTTTCTTTTCTTTTCTTTCTTTCTTTTTTTTTTCCTGTGGTATTGGAAAGTGAACTCAGGACCTTGAATATGCTAGGCAAGTGCTCTATTGCTGAGCTACATCCCCACAACAGTAGCTACTTTGACTGCTATAAACACATATGGTGCAACTCTACATCGTGTACAACCAGAGAAATGAAAAGTTGTGCTCCATTTGTGTACAGTGAATCAAAATGCATTCTGCTGTCATGTATAACTAATTAAAACAACAACAATAACAAAAAAAACTCCAGCTGATGTTCCTCAAAGAAGTATTCAAATCTTTGAAGGTTTTCATCAGTGTACACAAAAGTTTATTAATAAATAAAGTCTTCAGATGTCAAATTGTATCTGTCACATGTATGGAACAGCCTTCTTGGAATGGCAGTTAGGGGCTACCCTGACTCTAAATTATTTATTATCTGGGCTACTAGAGAAATTCTTAGCATTTCCAATCCTTACATATCTCATCTAAATGAGGAAATTCCAATAGTGATATTCGAGACTCTGCCAGCTATAAAATTTTATGACACTGTCTCCTATAACACATATAGGAAATAAGATTTACAATGCATAGGAAAACCAAGTACATTTTCATATGCTCATTTTTACTGCTTATATGAATATGATCTTGATAAAAGAAAAAAAACATGAAAGTTTAAATATGTTTAAAATTATGAGCTGGTTTTTTAAAACAAATCTACGTCATAAGATTTTGTTATAAAATCTTAAAAATCTTCCACTTAAAGTTTAAAAATTATTCCTGCTTTATTTATTTATTTATTTTTACTTGAGAACTGAATGACAACACAATTCTTGTTCAAAAGTTATAAGGTAACATGTAGCCCATTGACTTATTTATTTTTTATTACTATTGCTGTTAAGAGCTACTCTGCTTTTTTTTTTTTAAGAAAAATATTTCACTTGCCAAATCACTATGTAAGAGTTTCACAATGTTCATGACATTGGGTTCTCAAAACAATGTGGTTTTAACCATATTTCAAAAATGAGGAATCTGGGTTTTAAGAGTTATAAGTGACAAAACTGGAAATCAATCCTAGAATTAAATCCAAAGCCTGCTCTCTTACTTGTAACCCTTCCTTTATTTTAGTCATATAAGGTCATTGCCAGTGATTTTGTAGACATCATAGGCAAGGTTATACATATGCATATACAGTGGGTACCCCCTCCCTTATCCTTGGAAGGTGAGTTCCAAGATATCTAATAGAAACCACAAATAGACCAAACCCTATATATATGGTTTTGTCCTATATATGCAACCTATGATAAAGTGTAATTGATAAGTGAGTCATAGTGAGAAATTAAAAAAAATAAGTAATGTTAAAATAAAACAACTACAATAATATAATACAAGTTATGTGAATGTGAAATCTTTCTTATTTCTGGAAATTTTTTTATATTTTCAGATTATGGTTGTTCAGGTGAAACTGAAACCATGGAACATAAAACTGTGGATAAGTACAGACTACTGCATTGAAAAATTGCTTTGGTTTTCCACAGAGCTATAATTCTATAGAATGAAATATCAGTTGCCTTAAAAATGGGCATGCATGGCACTCATAATGTATGATAATTTTGGCACTATTTGGTTGAGACTATAGACAATCTCTCTCTCTCTCTCTCTCTCACACACACACACACACACACACACACACACTGTGGTAATCTAATTTTTGCATTCCAACTTTCCCAATGCATTCTTGAAAATATATTTTAGAAAAAATTTCACTCATTTTGGGTCTTGTTTCTTAGTGTTAAGCACATCGTTAACCAAAGTTGACTTTTATTTTTCTCCCTTAAGTAGATGATACTGTGTGAAATGTTGGGTTATTGCTTGGTTCACATTTATTCTCAGGGAAGAGGCACTTAGTAATTCTCACAGTGAGAAGCTTTTTCAGTCGCAATGCCACCAGCAGCGTGTAATCGCAAGTTTCTGATTTTACCTCTGTTACAGAATGACCAAAAAAAAAAAAAAAAAAACCAGTGCTAGCCGCAGTTGGTTTCTTGTGTCTCGATATATCAAACTCTTGGAACCACTGACTTCTTCTCTTGCATTCTTTTTTCTAACAGCACATTGACTGCCCCCGTATTATTACTCCACTCTGTGGAGATTATAAGGGCCTCACCCTGACTCTATGTTCCAATAATGGGAGAGCTGCTGCCCTGTTGCAGTTGCCGTGGCTGATTTCCTGTGCCCTTTATAGATTCGATGCTTTCGCTCCTGCTCTTGGCTGTATTTATGCTTTTAGATCCTGAAATGCATTTAAAACAAAACTGATTCTTTCCTAAAGCAATGATCTATTGTAAAAGTGAAATGGTTTGTAACTTCATAGCCCATTTATGAATCAGAAAACTTTCTTCCTGATAAACATATCTAGATCTTAGACACGAAGTCATATTATTTCTCTAGGGTGTTATACTTCTTATTCACTAGTTCAAAACTGTAACAAATGCCAGGGACATTTGAAAAAAAAAAATTCCCAACTATAATACTGTTTTTGTAAAAATAATTTTTGGTCATCACTGGGAAGCTATGTTTCTTTTCTTAGTCTTCCTAACATTTAGATGAATTCTGTAACACTAAATCTGCATCATGCCCCTGTCTCTCACAAAGATGCCCACATCCTAATTTCCTGAACCTGGCTGGGTATACAACAACTTTGATAGAAGGTGAAATTAAGTTAAGGATCTTGAGAAAGGAAGAATAGCCCGAATTACCCAGGTGGACCTTGTATAATAAATCATAAAGGTGCTTAGAAGATGGAGGTAGGAAGGTCAGAGTGAGGAAGGAGATGGAGTGAGATAGTAAAAATTGGAGTAAGGATCTTTGAAATAAGGAGGGAAGCATACAAGACAGGTAATGCAGGTGGCCTCTAGGAGCTGAAAAGGGCAAAGAAATGTCAAACCCTGCTGACACCATGACTGTTAGCCCATGGAGACTGATTTTAGACCTCTGACCTACAGAACTGTGAATCTTCACAATTTTTATAAATTTGTGTTGTTTTAAGCTGTAGTAATTTGTCATAGCAGCAATAGGAAACTAACATGTTCATCATAATAAATTGTTTGGAGAGATTCCTTAGAAGAAAAATCTTTTTACATTCTTCTTCTAAATAAACATATATTAAAGAATACTTAATTTCCTTTAGCATTAATTTGCTAAGTGCCTGTGGAGCAGGATCTCATTTCTATTCAGTGGTTGCTGTAGCTCTTTGATATTCCTTCCTGCGGTGCTGTTTGCCTTATGTACTTGCATCTGTTCTCTAGTGACTGAATAGACGTTTAATCTCTTTTCAATTAGAATGAGAATGACACATAACAGTAACCAAGTTTCTGCTTTTACTGTGGCCTACACCACCACCACCCCTCCACCCACACCCCTGACTGTGCTAAAAAGTGAAACTGAGTTTGCTCTAAAGAAGCTTGCTTAATATAAATGGGTTTTAACAACCTATACTATAAACATTTTGATGCTAAGAAATCTAAAATTCTCCATTTCTCTTTTTGGTGTTTTGGCTTTCTTTGTGAGCTATGATAATTAGCTTCAATTTCTATCCCATAATTATTGATTCAATTAGAGTTTCAGCAGTATTCCTTACTCCCAATGGAATGTTTTCCTTAGCATCTAATTCACCATAGATTTCTCAGTACTTGTTAGCTTCATCTCTCTGTGAGATTAATAAGTGAACATTGTTCTTAGGTT